CTCTGTTGAGTACAGGCTACATCTTTTTTTAAAAAAAGTACCTTAAATCTGATTATTCTTACTAAGGATTAGGAATCCACTAGATTCTTTAAAATGTAGACAATTTTTAGTTTCTGTTCAGATTAGGAGATAAAAACCATGATACTGGAGCTAATATATTAACATAGAAAAGTCTATCATGACATGATAAACTGCACCAGCTGTACTTCTCTATGCAACTATTGAAACTTCTATACAGTTGCAGCCTTCTTGGTGTCTACATTTCTCTGTCTAAGACTACTACTCATGTACTTTCCTCACATAGCAGGAATTCTAGTTTGAGGGTGTTCAGACAGTTTGGCAATTTCAAATTTTTATGGTGTTTGTTTTTCTGGTGATAGAAAAAGCAGGGATTTCATGGCTCTCCCTTTAATCAAGTAATGTAGCCCAAATACTTGTGCTGACAGTGGGTATTAGGATGAATAAACTAACTGGATTTTTCCCAGAAAACCCATGTTTCAAGCAAAAAGATGGCCAGGGGGAAAAAAGTTTTAAAAAAGAGTGAGCAAGATTGACTAGCCTTGGCTGCAGTGTTTTAGAACTTTTTTTTCCTGTTATGCCACCAAATTATTATAACTGCTTAAAATATATGTCAAATGTAGTTCAGGCTTAAGAATACAGTATGTCGTAAGGCAAAATACTGCCTGCTGCATTAAGAATGGAGCAAGGGAAGATGTGGCAAGTTTGACAAGAATCCTCTTGGTGCCTTTTGAGGACCCTCTGAGTTCATGCTTAATTTTTTTGGCCTGTCCATGAAAAGAGGTTTAAACATCATTCGTTTTATTCAAGTAAACTACAATCTTTAGTAACAGACAAATTTATACAATGGCCTGTAAAGTACTGATCATCCCATCCTTTTCCATTCAGCTTAAAAAAACCCACAGATCATGTTAAAGAGCTATACTTTTGTTAATTGAAACTATCAAGTGTGGTGTGGAAAGGACATTTCTCCTAACCCTTTGAGAGGGAAAAGGTCAACCTCTTCTTTGCTATTGCCCTGATAAAGACTAAAAAGACTGGTGCCCGGCTAATAGCAAGCAAAGTTAAATCCTTTCACCTCAGGTACATGACATGCGTTGCATGCAGAAGATCCTGGCTTCAGTGTCTGGCATGTCCAAGTGAGGCAAGAAAAATGGCCTGAAATCGTGGAGGGTTACTGCCAGTCATCCTTTGCCAATACTGGGCTAGATGGAACAATATTAATAGAGATTCCTACGCTATTATTTAATCACTACCAAAAATAACCTTTAAAACTGGAAACTAATTTGTTCAGGCATTGTGCAAATTATGCTATCCAGGCTAGAAAGATGAGAGTTTCAAAGCAGAAGGATCATGCTGTATATTTATAAAGAGGCATAATCATGTACTGGTCTCAGAAGATGAACAACTGTCAATCTGTTGGGTAGATGCTGAAGACCAGTTGATAATTTTAATTTAGTGTTTAGTGCAAGGATTGCTGCAATCCTTACAAGGTTCGTGACTTTTACTGAATGAAGAATACTTTCCACATCATTTGCCTGGAGATTCAATGCAACCACTTCAGTTTTATTCCCTTTTAAACGTGTGTTTTATGAAATACAAATGCACAAGAAGAACATGAGTGGGCAGAGGGGTAGGCTGTGTAGTTTCCATGAACACAGTGTGCCTGTAGATGTCGCCTTTGATGCTTTACCAGGGCACTTAATGTTTAAAAAATTCAAAAATATTTCTAGAAATGCTTGTGGATCCCATATCCACAAAGCACCCCTGATAGAAAGAAATGGGTATGTTTTGAAAAAGCAGCATGAAGAAAATCATATCTACACTTTCAGAAACTGTGATCTGGGATTCCATGGTAGAATCTAGTATTTACCCTGACTCTTAAAACAGTGTCCACTTTCACAGAACCTCCCTCTCCCCAATCACTCATCAATCTGACAAATACAAGCTTTTATCCCTTTTTAATAGCACAATAGTTTTAAAAGTCAACTGAAACGAAATTATCTATAGTGTAAAATGTCAGTTCCAGAGAAAAACCAGACAGAACCTGTTGAAATAAAACTTTGTAATCAGTACAGCAGCAACAAACAGCAGCAATCTATGTTTTAAGAGAATGAAACTCAAACGTATCCAGAGGTAGTTGTGAATGAAAAATGAAAACCTTGACAGACAATGTATATTGGAAAGACAACTGTCAACTGCTAACTGTGCTATTCCCAATGGAGAAAAATCACAAAAACCCAGAGAGACCACGAAGGGAGAGAATTTTGCCATCCTGCTTTCCTTGGTCATGGCAATGTCTTGTTCAATATCCTTTTTGTGCAGAATGACTGAGCACCAAGTGAAAAACATTTCAGTTGTACGCTCCCGTTTGTGCACTGGCAGCTGGGGACAGAATGGAGAAGGGAAAAAAAAAAAAGGAAAAAAAAAAGATCTCTGGTTCCTGGGGAAAAGATGAGAATTTAGGTCAGATTCACCCCAAACACCTCAGCCTGTTGCAATCCTAAATGCTTTGGCCTTAAGGCAGCTGATTGGGGCAGGGCAGCATGTTGTCAACAAGAATACACAGGCCCATTGCAAAGGACTAGATTATTCTTGAACTACTGGAAAGTGGGTGAAAAAGATAGGATAACTTCCTCTCAATTATTCTTGCAAATGCCTTACAATAGGAAAAAATAATGTCTTCATCCTTTTAATGTTGTGGCCTTTATCCCACTATACTCATTTCCCAGAAAAAATAAAATCCGCACAATGCTCTCAATCCTCCTTCACGGCAAGCTTTCTGTCAAGTGCCAAGTTACCCTTTTGGAGAGTATTATGGTCTCTCTGAAGCGGAAATTAGGATTGATAAGGAAGAACTAGGCTGTCCACTCTTTTCAACATGAATAAGTGGTTACTATAAAGATTTATAAACCCCTTTCTCGATAAGGAGTGTTCTGGAGAAATAGATCAAAAAACAGATATAATACAGAACTACATGGATTGGTAGGCTAAACTCTTAACCCTGTCAAATGAGAGGGGAAAACAAAATACAAAGTTCTCCCATTAAACATTACACATCAAATATGATGGTTGATCTGTTTTTACACTGTACTCTAGTGTTGCTGTTTTGACTGTGAGAACGTTGGAGAGATCAGGTCAGGAAAGGGGTGAGGATTCTTCGTTCCTTCCTCAGTCCCAGAACTTGACAAGAAATAGGAAAACTGAGCTGTGAGGTAGAATCAGTTGGCTATTCTCATTGCTCCTCTTCTGAAGACTCCTGGGAGATGTTGACCTCTTCTTCATCTTTCTCCTGCACAGGAAAAAAATAGTATTGGGAAGATCTGCTGTTATATTGCTCTTGAGTTAAGACTAATCCTCATACTGTAGCAGGAGTGAGGAACATCTGGCCTGCAGACATCATTCCACATTGCTGCACAGAGACAGCTGCTCCTCCTTCCTTGCACAGGGAGGAAGGTGGCAATCAAAAAGACTTCAAGGGATGGCTTTTCTCTTCCCATTGTCATGCAGACTGGTATGCGCAAGCAAAAACCTGTTCCTTTGTTAGGATTCATTTTCCATTTTTGTTGTATAATGTCATCAACAAAGCACCTACAAAATGAGAAATCCAAATTCTAGAGTGTTTGCTTTTGACAGTCTCTATTCCTGTTACTCCAGAAAGGAGGCAATTTATTGTACAACTGATTGGGATCATACATTGAAATCATAATTTCACAAAATGTAGGAGCCTGAAGTTATCTTAAAGGTCATTAAGTTCAATCCCTCGCTCAGTGCAGAATTTCCCCAAACTATCCTCAACAGGTAGCCATCCAGCCTCCATTTGAAAACCTCCAGCAAGGGGAAGTCCATCACTGTTCTAGACAAACTGTTCCACTGAATATTCTTCATTGTTAGCAGAAAACAATGTTCACTACAAACACCTACAAAGTGTGCTGCTTCACACACAGAATTCATCTTGGAGTTTTAAGCTGTCATAGATCCAAGCTGCCACAAGAGGGACGAGTACAGTAGCATTAAAAACAAAACAAAAAATCAGATCTAATATCTAAGCTCCCTCTGCAGTCTCCTTAAAGCTTATCCTATCCAGCAACTAAACTCCTAACATCCACACTCTTCTAAGCCTAAATAAGCAATTGCTTGTGTATGAGGGGAAATACTTCTTCCTGGAGGTTTCTCCTGCCTGCTCTTTTAAAACTAAAACAAATGCTATTGGAATGAGATGAGTCACACTCGAGTGCATGTGTGAGTCAGCAACCTTGACTTCCTTGTGTTTCATTCATAAAAATACACATTTAAACCACTGTGGAATGTGCCTGCCAAGTCTGTTCAGCAAGTTCTAGGGCAAGAGAGATAATTTAGCAAAGGAAGGAAATAACCAACTCTACTTAACCTCTCTTTGCTAAAAGAGACACAGTGAGGCTCCTCTCCCAACCAAGTCTGAAAAAGGTTAACAGGCTCAAGAGAAGACAAGTGGAATGGGTCATGAAACAACTGGAAGTTTGCAATTTAAATGGAAGTATAATTCAGAGTAAGTTAATATATCCAGGTGATATTACAGATAGAGACACAGCAGATCCTCAATTGTTACAGTTCTTGGAAGTAACCCAATGTGAGCATTAGAGGAAATGAATCTATTCCTTGGTTTACTATTTTAATTTTCATGAATTGCCCTGCTGGAGTGATCTGCAAAGAATACTTTATTACTGTCCTTCCTCACATACCGTACTTCTCAGGAAGGGGTTTCAAAAATAATAGCATAATCTGAATATTTGAACTTATGTATACTCTGGCTGAGTATCAACTTTAGGCAGAAAGGCAGCATAATGTTGCAAGCATGACATTTTAGCAATAACAGAAGGATTCCTATTGCCAAACACCCAAATTTTAAGAAATTAAGGACCAAATATGTAGTCTAGTTTGTAATTTTCTGTGTCAGGACTGAAAAGAAACCAAATGGGTTTTTTTAAGTGTTCACTGCAAATCTGATTCTCCATTTTGGAAGGCTGCCTCTTTGCTTATTAAGAAAACTTCCAATTAGCTGTTTCTGGCAAGGATTGCCCTACATTCAGCTCCTTATACTTTGGGTGACAGATGTGAACTGCAGTGCCATCAGCCACTTCCGATATTCAGAGCAAGATGGAGCACAGCAGCATGCTCTACGTTCTACATTAATGGCACACCTGTTTTGAACATTTTCAGTTTGTCTGTAAGAATAAATGGGATTGCAGTAAAACATTTGTTATATCCCCAACTCCTTCAATGAATGCTTCTTTCAAGGGCTCTACCCAGCCTGGAATCTTCTAGAGTTATAGTTTAGTTCATCTTATTGTCTCCATAGTTGGGCTGCAAATCTAATGCCAACATGTGGCATCCTGGGGCAAGATCCAATAGCACTGATATCTGCCTGCCTTTCCTCCACAACTCACCTCATCCATGAAGTCCCATATACATTTCCTACAGTGACCTCAAGAATGTAAGGCTGGTATTGGCAATGTCATTCTGAATCCACCTGTGGATTTTTCTCTGTCCTTTGTGGCCTTA